AATAAATGGGCTAAGGATCTCAACAGACACTTCACAGAAGAAGAAATACAAGTGGTCAACAAATATGTGAAAAAATGTTCAACATTACTAGCAATTAGAGCTATGTCAATTAAAACTACACTGAGATTCCATTTCACTCTAGTCAGAACAGCAATTACCAAAAATACAAGTAACAATAAATGTTGGCAAGGATGTGGAGAAAAAGATACATTCATACATTGCTGGTGGAACTGAAAAGTGGTGCAGTCACTCCGGAAAGCAGTATGGAGACTCAGAAAAACTTGGAATGGAACCACCATTTGACCCATCTATCCCACTCCTTGGCATACACCCAAAGGACTTAAAGTCAACATACCACAGTGACCAATGTTCACAGAAGTTCAATTCACAATTCTAAGCTCTGGAATCAACCTAGATGCCCTTTAATAGATGAATGGATAAAGAAATTGTGGTATATATACACAATGGAATAGTAATATTACTCAGCCATAAAGAAGAATGAAATTTTGGCATTTGCCAGTAAATGGATGAAAAGCGGAGACTATCATGCTAAGTGAAATAAACCAATCCCAAAAAACCAAAGGCCGAATGTTCTCTCTGATATGCTGATACTGACTCACAATTATCAGGGGGAAGGAAGAGTGGAGGTTCACTGGATTGGGATAGGGGACAGGAGGGAATGGGAGAAAGTGAGGGGGATTGGAAATGGGAAAGACAGTAGAATGAATCGGCCATAACTTTCCTATGTTCATGTATGAATACACGACCAGTGTAACTCCACATCATGTACAACTACAAGAATGGAAAGCTATACTACATGTATGTATAATATGTGAAAATACATTCTACTGTCATGTATAACTAAAAAGAAGAAATTTTTAAAAAGATATTTAAAAAAAAGTTCTCTTGGATAGTAATGCCTTAGAAACTCCATTCTTGCTCTACTCAAAGATGACATCCCATCACTGTTTAATCCTGTGCCACTGATTTTCTTCTTAAAAATATGGTTTGAAACATTGGCAAATATTCCTAAGTAAATATGAACACTCAGTGGTGAGAAAAATAAACAGACACAACTTATTTAATGCAGAAATGTAATGAAACCTCCTATTACATTACATGAACTTAAAAACCATAAGAAAAATGAAATATATGTACTTATTAAATCCCTTGATTCCTTTGGAAATCTTTAGCTTTTCATGGATTCATACAGTAATCACTTTCTCAGCACAATACATACTAAAAATAAGTCAATGAGTAATATTCTCAGTGACACATATAGATTGATAATCTTAGCCACATTTTTCAGGAAGCCATATAATACTACAATAATCCATAATCCGTTACAGAGATCACTACTGGCAATAACTGATATTAATAGTTACTAAGGGTTACAGTAAATATATTTATGGACTGTATAATCATTTATGTTAATTTGTCTGGTCAAAGGAGCAAGAAGCAACATTGTGTCAGATACATTTTTTTTTTTCTGGTTCTAATAAGTTATTCATGACAGTAGAAAGCTAAATTCATTGTACACAAATGGAACAAAAGTTTTTACTTCTCTGGTTTGCATGAAGTAGTATGCAATCATACAAGTAACCTGGGATAATGATGTCCATCTCATTCCACCATCTTTCCTACCGCTTTGCTCCCCGCCCTTGCCCCATCCAAAATTCCTCCACTCATCTCATGCCCCGTTTCCCATATGGATTAGCATCTACTTATCAGAGAAAACATTTGGCCCCTGTTTTTTTTTGTTGTTGTTGTTGTTGTTTGTTTTGAGATTGTCATGATATTCTCCAACTCCATCCATTTACCTACAAATGCCATAATTTTCTCTTTTAATGTTGAGTAATATTCCTTTGTGTATCTATACCACATTTTCTTTATCCATTCATCTATTGAAGGGCATCTAGGTTGCTTCCAGAATTTAGAAATTGTGAATTGTGTTGCTATAAACAATGAAGCAGCTGTGTCTCTGTAGTATGCTGTTTTTGAGTCTTTAGGCTATAGATTGAGGAGTGAGATAGCTGGATCAAATGGTGGTTCCATTCCAAGTTTTCCAAGGACTCTCCATAGTGGTTGCATCATGCTGCAGTCCCACCAGCAATGTATGAGTGTGCCTTTTCCCCCACATCTTTGTCAACACTTATTGTTGCTTGTATTCTTTATAGCTGCCATTCTGACAGGTGTGAGATGAAATCTTAAGAGTAGTTTTGATTTGCATTTCTCTAATTAGTAGAGATGTTGAACATTTTTTCATATATTTGTTGATCTACTGTTTATCTTCTGAGACTTGTCTGTTCAGCTCCTTAGCCCATATTGATTGGGTTGTTTTTTTGGTGTGAAGTTTTTTGAGTTCTTTATATCCTGGAGATTAGTGCTCTATCTGATGCACAAGCACTTCTAATAAATAAGTAGAGGTTGATGAGAACATGAATAAAGGATATAGTAGACATCAAGTTCATATAAAGGCTTAACACCTCTTATAAAAAAAAACTTGTATCATGTTCTGTTTTATAATGAAAATTTAATGTAACTAGAATAGCTAAAAATTATATAAAGAGCTATATTCAAGTTCTATTATAATTACTAATAAGTCTAAACCTTCCAGGATACCATGAGTCAGCAATCATTAAATGAGAGAGGCCAACATGTGGTTCTGCCCTATTTATTAACAATGCTAACTGTGGAGGACAGAAGCTTAGACTTAGTAGACATCTAAGGAAAGACTCCAATGTGAGGCTATATAAAATAAAGTGGAAAAACTATTTTTTAAAAAGAGCTT